CAACCATCGACTCGCAACTAGAGGAGGGCGTATGTTTGTAGGGCCCCTAGTTGTAAGTCAACCATCGACTCGCAACTAGGGTGGACGTATGTGTGTAGGATCCTAGTTGCAAGTCAACCATCAACTCACAACTAGGACGTGTCCTACTTTTTCTGTAGTTGCCCCAGTTGCATGTCAACCATCGGACTTGCTACTAGGGGACGTATGTTTGTAGGGGCCTAGTTGCAAGTCAACCATCAACACGCAATTAGGACGCTTCGTACTTTTTTGTAGTGGCCCCAGTTGCATGTCAACCATTGACTCGCAACTAGGGGGCGTATGTTTGTAGGGGCCAAGTTGCAAGTCAACCATCGAATCGCAACTAGGACGCACCGTACTTTTTTGTAGTGACCCTAGTTGCATGTCAACCATCGACTCGCAACTAGGAGGGGCGTATGTTTATAGGGGGCCAGTTACAAGTCAACCATCGAATCGCAACTGGGACATGTCAAACTTTTTTGTAGTTACCTTGGTTAAAAGTCAACCATTGACTCGTAACTAAGGGGACATATGTTTGTAGGGGCCCAGTTGAAGTCAACCATCGACTCGGAACTAGGGGGACGTATATTTGTGGGGAGCCAGTTGCCAGTGAACCATCGAGTCGCGTCATACTTTTTTTACTTGCCCCAGTTGCAAGTCAACCACCAACTCGCAACTAGGATGCGTCGTACTTTTTTGTAGTGGCCCCAGTTGCATGTCAACCATTGACTCGCAACTAGGGGGCGTATGTTTGTAGGGGGCTAGCTGTAAGTCAACCATCGTTTCGCAACTAGAGGGGGCATATATTTGTAGGGCCCCTAGTTGCAAGTCAAGCATCGACTCGCAAGTAGGGCGGACGTATGTCTATAGGAACCCAGTTGCAAGTCAACCATTGACTTGCAACTAGGATGTGTCATATTTTTTTAGTGGCCCTAGTTGCATGTCAACTATCGACTCGCAACTAGGGGACGTATGTTTGTAGGGGCCTAGTTGCAAGTCAACTATTGACACGTAACTAGGATGCATCGTATTTTTTTTGTAGTGACCCTAGTTGCAGGTCAACCATGGACTCGCAACTAGGAGGGGTGTATGGTTGTAGGGGGCAGTGGCAAGTGAACGATTGACTCGCAAGTTGGACGTGTCATACTTTTTTGTAGTTACCCTAGTTGCAAGTCAACTATCAACTCGCAACTAGGGGAAGGGGCGTATGTTTATAGGGGCCCAGTTGCAAGTCAACCATCGACTCGCGACTAGGATGTGTCGTAATTTTTTGTAGTGACCTAGTTGCATGTCAAACATTGACTCGCAAGTAGGGGGCGTATGTCTGTATTTACTCAAATGAGTGTCAACCATCGAGTCGCAACTAGGACGCCTTGTACTTTTTTGTAGTGGCCCTAGCTGCATGCCAACCATTGACTCACAACTATCGGGGGTTGTATGTTTGTAGGGGCTTGGTTGTAAGTCAACCATCGATTCACAACTAAGACGGGTTGTACTTTCTTGCAGTAGCCCCAGTTGCATGTCAATCATCGACACACAACTAGGGGGGGATGTTTGTAGGGGCCCAGTTGCAAGTTCATCATCGACTTGCAATTGGCACGCGTCGTAGTTTTTTGTAGTTGCCCCAGTTGCAAGTCAATGATCGACTTGCAACTAGGATGCATTGTATTTTTTTGTAGTGGCCTTAGTTGCATGTCAACTATCGACTCGCAACTAGGGAGGGACGTATGTTTGTAGGGGCCCAGTTGCAAGTTAACCATCAACTTGCAACTAGGATGCATTGCACTTTTTTGGAGTTACCCCAGTTGTAAGTCAATGATCGCCTCGCAACTAGGGGGAGGGGCGTATCTTTGTAGGGGCCCTGTTGCAAGTCAACCATCGACTCACAACTAGGGGTCAAATGTTTGTAGGGGTCAAGTTGCAAGTCAACCATCGACTCGCAACTAGGGGGCAAATGTTTGTAGGGTCCCAGTTGCAAGTCAACCCATCGACTCGCAACTAACTTTTTGATCTCCATGTTAAATTTAACCTTTTTTATTTCTCTCCAAGACAATTATTGATACAAATTATTGGAAAGTAAAATGATTTTTTGTGCAACCATGATAGAGATTAGCATGGCTCTCTCATTGAGGACCGAAAACAAACAGCCACCCATCCATGACAAAATGTTTCTTTTAAAAAAAAGTTGAAAATGCTTGTGTTTCGAAAATGTACGCAAATTTTGGAAAAAAATCATGTTCATGTTCATGGTTCTATTTTTTACACAAATTCAAAAAATGTTCGCATTTTTAAAATTTTGTTTGGAGTTTTAAAAGATGTTCATGCTTCTAAAAAATGTTCATGTTCATGCTTCTAAAAAATGTTCCGATTTAATAATAATAATAATATAGGTTTGCATTTTCATGAAATGTCTGAGGTTTTACAAAGTATTTAAAAATAAAAAAGGTCCGTGTTTTAAAAATACTCACTTTTCTGAAAGAAAAAAAAACGTATTTTGAAGTTTCAAAAACCGGTCTCTAATTTCTCACTGTTGATGGTTTCTTAATGTTGTCGTACCTTTTGGGACACGTAATCTACTCATGTCAACTAGTTAGTGGGGAGCGCAGGTAAGTTGTCAGGTCCCTAGTTCGATCTATGTTAACCTTAGTTTTTTTTTACTATTTCATTATTTTTACTGTTCGAAGGGCAAAATGGGCTAGGCCAGTTGGGGGTACCCTGTACGAAGAAAAACACAGCTGGGCACCAGGCGTGAAGGATTGTCCCATAAAAAGAAATCAGCGCGAAAGAAAAATCATCATCGGGCAAAAAAAAACAACAAGAGAGCCACAAACAAAACTTAGATGTGACATAATGTCACATTTAGATGTGTCCTAGACACACCCTTATAAGAAAAGGCAACACACAAATGACCCAAATACCAAGCCCAGATGGCCCTTTTTGCCGGGGCATGCCTCTCATTAGTTTACACCAGATCCCTTCCGTCCCGTGCCCAAGTCCCGCAGCACTATCGCGCCCAAGAGGATTCAAAAGGGAGCGGCGGCGGCGAGAGGCCCGGCGCCGACCGCAACCCTAGCCCGAATCAGCACCCGCCGCCCCGGAGGGTGCCGCTGCGGCGGCCGAGGCCGACGACGAGGTGCGGCGCCTGTTCACGGCCCTCAGCCAGGTCCACGCCGACCTCGCCCTGGCGGTCTGCCGCAGGCGGAGCGGCGGTCCATTGTTGACGAGGCGCGCTGGCGGCCCGTGCGGTCCCGATCCCAGGTGCTGGTCCACCGGCGTGGATGAGGAGCCCAGGAGCAGGCAAGTTGGCTAGATCTCGCAGCCCCGGCCGTCCCGTCCACGTCCTAGGGTTCCGAGGTACGCGACTGAGATCCCGATTTTTTTTGAGGGAGCGACGACCTCTGATCCAAAATAAGTACCGCAATTTTGAACTAAGGCTAGTTCAGCCTTAGTTCAAAACTGTGACACTTATTATGGATCGGAGGGAGTAGTAATTATAAGTAGTACATCCATTTTTGCTACAAAAGAGTTCCAACTTCCAACCCAAATAGTTGCTAGTGCTAGTTTAAGCAGTTATCTCGTCCCGGTTTGGTTGAATGAAGATAGGATGGTGAAAGAAATGAGGAAGGGATGCCTTTGCTGTGCCTGTGAGCTTTTTCTTTCTTGGCTTCAGTTTCTTGAATAACATCACTGTCTATAACTCACCTATGGGATTGGTAACCAGTCTATATGGTATAGAGACACCCAAAATGTTGCTAATTACCAGCACCCAATTATGCACCAGAAACAGTAATCTTTTTTTTTTCTTGTATTTAGTAATTTACCATTAGACCTAAACTCAGTTTACAATATTGAATTGTCTGAGTTGAGTAATAAATTCAAGATTTGGCCTTCGAGTAGAAAGTTAAACTAGCTGGACAGTCTTCACGCGCCAATTAGTGAAGGCAGTGAAGTTACACACAACTCCATTCTTGGCATGGATTATATATCCAAAAGCTTAGTGGGCTGACACAATAGTAGGTGGACACATAAAGCAGGAAATATTTAGGCATAAATGTTTACTAAACTAGAATTCATTTCATAATAGCACATTCATGTTGAGAAATTCTTATATACGACCTTTGAATTGTAGCCAGTTAACTTCGGATAAGTTGTATCACTTACTAAAAGAAGGTGGGCCTTACCGTGTGGGGAGGTTGCTAAATCAATAAAAACGTGTTCATCATTCATGTGAATACGAATAAATCAAGTTTAAAATTCACCATACATATTGATATAAATTCAGAAACATGCAAATACAGCTACAATAATGAGTAAGATACATGTAAAGTTTATTTATTCTCAAAATAATCTAAGAAATATTCAGTCTTCATGCCAAGTTGCCTATAATAAATGGTCACCAACTATCATGAATGATAAAATCCATCTTCTTCGCTATTTGGACTGCTCAGGCTTGTCAGCACTATGCACCCATGAGCAACTGCACTGTAGACATAAAATGGTTAGGCGTTAGCTCATAGTGTCAAATGCGCGATTAGCTTATATTGCATTGCATCTGAGTAGAGTAGAGACACAATGGATGTAGTATGAGGTGGTCACCTATGAGGGTGTCTGCGTGGGCTCTGGCCGCGCACTCCGCGATCCTGGTCCTATTCATGTGACGCCATTGGGCTTGTTCGCTACCGGCTCTGGCTCTCGGACGATGCCACATGATATCTTTGTGTTGAACACCTCTCTAGTTGATATTGTGCCATGACCGCCCAACGGTTTCACCATGCGCAATGTGTCGGTGCTGAGGTCGTCTGCGCATGATGGAATGTTGGGAGTTGTGGCACAGTATGCATCAGGGAGGCGTTGAACATAGGAGCGGCGTGTGGCAGGGTCGACCGGTGGCGGACAAGGCCAAGGCGCAAGTCGCATGATTAGGATAACCAGGATCAAGGAAGTTGCCACAAGAGCCTCGGATGCCCTTGCAAGCGGCCACCATGTACTCCATCCATAGTACCTGGGTCCAGCAGGTGGCAACCCCGAGCCAGCTAAGTAGCGATGAAGATGAATATTTTGTTTTCATGCTGGTCAATGCGTATATTCTGTTGGTGGAAACTTTGCATGAAGTTCGTAAGTCTTTGATTACTTATAAAATAATAAATTATTTGATGTATTTTTACTTAATTGCCAGAGTTGTATTTGCATGACTTCTGTACCATATTATGTTTTATTTCTATATGTGTATGGCGAATCTTAAAGTTGATATAATTTTGGTTAACACATGAATGAGTGAAAATGATTTTCTGGCCATAGCAACCTCCCAACATCCTAAGGCTTTTTTTCTATGTAATAAATACACTTTATCAGAAGTTTACTGGCTTTAATTCAAAGGTTATTGCGCTTGTAAATTATTCCTATATATAAGAATTGCTTGACAATAATATGATCTGTACGGATAAATTCTGCTCAGTCAAAGCATTCATCATGCTTATTTTCTGCTTCTGGTCAGTATGATTTTACAAAAAGCATTTGCACATTTCTTTTTTGCTTCAGCTAAAAAAACATTTGTTCAGCACTAACACCATGATTTTTTTGCGTGTTAATCAAGGAGGTAATTCAAGTCATCTATGATGTCTAAAAGGATTGCATTGCCTTGATAGATGCCACAAGTAGTTAGCCAGCAACCATAGCTATTTGGCGAGCTATGTCGGGTGCCATACCTAAACGGTGTTGTTCGTTGCAAATATACGTACGTACTTTAAGTCTAAAGCTGAGTCGTAGCTCCTGCTGGCCTGGTTGGCTGTTTGCTGATTGGCCTAGTTACTAATGTGCGTAGGCCACAACTCCGGGATGCTAAAATTGAGTGTGGTCACCACGCATACAACCAAACCTAGCTACTGCGTGAAATCACGATCGTGTGTGGTGGAGGCGGCAGCGGCAGCGAATAGCTAAAAAGCACGGACACGGGGACGGAAGGACGGGGATACGCATACGGGGATACGGGATACGGCATTTTCCAAAAACAGCCATTCGCGGATACGGTGAGTATATATAAAATAAAATAAAAATATGACATATAATATATAATTAAGACAGAAAATTAAAGAAAAGGAGTTGAGAATAGAGAATATTGCCCCATTTGGTGGCTCTTTTATCAAGTGCTTGATTGATCCTCGTCCCCCCATGTCATTGCAAGTTGCATCTTGCAGAACACATCAAACAGCAAAGAAGATTAGAAAAATAGAAGACATAACCAGAAGACAATATGAACACATCAAAAGAGTAAAGACTTTTGCTTTGCTCACCCAATTTGCAATGCCATTTGGCTCCCAATTGCAGCACCAGGACCCGGACGCCCTTCACTCTCACCCACGGATGATTGGCTACCGGCTGCCATGGTTTTGGTACCTATCAGGCCAACAACAAGCAATCAATTCCTATCAAGAACAGCAGCAGCCAGCAGCACAAGCAAAGAGCAGAAAGCAGCAAGCATCAGATCCAATAACTTAGTGCAAGCAAACAGCAGTAGAGCACCAAGCACCAAGCATCTGAAGATTAAAAGTGGAAGAGGCTGAAGAAGAATGAGGAGAGGATGCAGCTGGGTTACCTGCGGCTGCGAGGAGAGGCTGCTGCTGCTGGTGGTGCTGGAGGGGACAGTCGCCGGTCGAATCCAGGAGCGCCGGCGGTGGTGGCGGCGAGTCCAGGAGGTGGCGGCGCTGTCTGTGCGACCTGGGAGGCAGGGAGGGAGCGCCTCTTCATTATGTCGTGACCCTGCAAAGTAGGGTTTCCTGATGGGCCGAGGCTGTTTTTTGGGCCAGGCCGTATCCCTAACGTGTCCCCGCGTATCCCAATCGTTTTTTCATTTTTTTTAATTCGAATTTCGGGGATACTCTAAAATTCGCGTATCCCGGCGTATCCCGCCGTATCCCCGTATCCCGCCGTATCAGGACGACAGTTCGGCGATTCCTGGCGTGTCCGTGCTTTTTAGGCAAATAGGGCATTAGGGCACGGCAGAGCGGTAGCAGCTGGCGGCCCGCGGCCGCCATGGGCCGGCAAGGTGGTGAACAGCGACTCAGCGATGCCGTGAGAGTGAGCAGATCAGCGGATGGCGTCAAAAAAAGATCGAATATTTGTATTATGTTGCTGACTTCCGCCGATTGAAATTGTATTAGATCAAGTATTCAAATACATACTTATGTTCTCTAGTTTTAGTTCTGTACTTGTGCACTGCATTTATTCTAGTGCTCTCACATCGTTGAAAAACTAATTGATTTGTTTCTTCTTGTGACTAGATATGGATATTTAAAGGAATTGATCTTGCTGAAATTAAGAAAGAATTTCAAAATATACCAAGAAGAATGCCTTTGCCACAGTCAATAAAGCTTTATTATAGGTATGTATTCTTTATAACTATCTTCACTTGTATAACTTGTTTTTATGATTATATAGCACTAGTTACATATTCATGATTTATCTATGCTATCTATTTTTGTAGACATCTTTATGCGTGTCTTAGTTAATAAAGATGATAAATTGGTGATCTGTAATCCATATAATCTTCATTTAGTGAGGTATTTTGATACCAGTATTTACTTTTTGGATTTCGGTTGTATTTGCTGAATATAAAGTATTCTAGTGAGCTCCTGCATCGTTCTAGTATATGTGATTTTCTTCTTTAAAAACAACGCCACAGCTGAAAATTATTCCGCCACTGCTAGCAACGAAGTAGAATTTGAGATTTCCTCGTGCAAGGGTATTAAACTGGTTTGCATAAGGAAAATGTATTAATCTTCCTTGTGCAAGGGTATCAAAATGTATTAATCTGGTTTGCATAAGGATTCGCTTAGGTAGCTGGAACGTAGGGTCTCTGACAGGGAAGCTTCGGGAGCTAGTTGATGCAGCGGTGAGGAGAGGTGTTGATATCCTTTGCGTCCAAGAAACCAAATGGAGAGGACAGAAGGCGAAGGAGGTGGAGGATACCGGCTTCAAGCTGTGGTACACAGGGACGGCTGCAAACAGAAATGGCGTAGGCAAACAGAAATGGAGAAGTACAAGATGGCGAAGAAGGCCGCAAAGCGAGCTGTTGGTGAAGCAAGGGGTCGGGCATATGAGGACCTCTACCAACGGTTAGGCACGAAGGAAGGTGAAAGGGACATCTATAAGATGGCCAAGATCCGAGAGAGGAAGACGAGGGATATTGGCCAAGTCAAATGCATCAAGGACGGAGCAGGCCAACTCTTGGTGAAGGGCGAGGAGATTAAGCATAGATGGCGGGAGTACTTCGACAAGCTGTTCAATGGGGAGAATGAGAGTTCTACCATTGAACTGGACGACTCCTTTGATGAGACCAGCATGCGTTTTGTGCGGTGAATCCAGGAGTCTGAGGTCAAGGAGGCTTTAAAAAGGATGAAAGGAGGCAAGGCGATGGGCCCTGATTGTATCCCCATTGAGGTGTGAAAAGGTCTCGGGGACATAGCGATAGTATGGCTAACCAAGCTTTTCAACCTCATTTTTCGGGCAAACAAGATGCCAGAAGAATGGAGACGGAGTATATTAGTACCAATCTTCAAGAACAAGGGGGATGTTCAGAGTTGTACTAATTACCGTGGAATTAAGCTGATGAGCCATACAATGAAGCTATGGGAGAGAGTCATTGAGCACCGCTTAAGAAGAATGACAAGCGTGACCAAAAATCAGTTTGGTTTCATGCCTGGGAGGTCGACCATGGAAGCCATTTTCTTGGTACGACAACTTATGGAGAGATATAGGGAGCAAAAGAAGGACTTGCATATGGTGTTCATTGACTTGGAGAAGGCCTATGATAAGATACCGCGGAATGTCATGTGGTGGGCCTTGGAGAAACATAAAGTCCCAGCAAAGTACATTACCCTCATCAAGGACATGTACGATAATGTTGTGACAAGTGTTCGAACAAGTGATGTCGACACTGATGACTTCCCAATTAAGATAGGACTGCATCAGGGGTCAGCTTTGAGCCCTTGTCTTTTTGCATTGGTGATGGATGAGGTCACAAGGGATATACAAGGAGATATCCCATGGTGTATGCTCTTTGCGGATGATGTGGTGCTAGTTGACGATAGTCGGACGGGGGTAAATAGGAAGTTAGAGTTATGGAGACAAACCTTGGAATCGAAAGGGTTTAGGCTTAGTAGAACTAAAACTGAGTACATGATGTGCGGTTTTAGTACTACTAGGTGTGAGGAGGTTAGCCTTGATGGCCAGGTGGTACCTCAGAAGGACACCTTTCGGTATTTGGGGTCAATGCTGCAGGAGGATGGGGGTATTGATGAAGATGTGAACCATCGAATCAAAGCCAGATGGATGAAGTGGCGCCAAGCTTCTGGCATTCTTTGTGACAAGAGAGTGCCACAAAAGCTAAAAGGCAAGTTCTACAGGACGGCGGTTCGACCCGCAATGTTGTATGGCGCTGAGTGTTGGCCGACTAAAAGGCGACATGTTCAACAGTTAGGTGTGGCGGAGATGCGTATGTTGAGATGGATGTGTGGCCACACAAGGAAGGATCGAGTCCGGAATGATGATATACGAGATAGAGTTGGGGTAGCACCAATTGAAGAGAAGCTTGTCCAACATCGTCTGAGATGGTTTGGGCATATTCATTGCAGGCCTCCAGAAGCTCCGGTGCATAGTGGACGGCTAAAGCGTGCGGAGAATGTCAAGAGAGGGCGGGGTAGACCGAAGTTGACATGGGAGGAGTCCGTTAAGAGAGACCTGAAGGATTGGAGTATCACCAAAGAGCTCGCTATGGACAGGGGTGCGTGGAAGCTTGCTATCCATGTGCCAGAGCCGTGAGTTGGTTGCGAGATCTTATGGGTTTCACCTCTAGCCTACCCCAACTTGTTTGGGACTAAAGGCTTTGTTGTTGTTGTTGTTTGTGCAAGGGTATCAATCTGACTTCTAGTCAAACAGCTCCTCGTCTGCACCACCTTGCTCCCCACGACCACTAGCAGTTGCACCAGACACAAAAATGAAGCAAACATGTTATGTTCAACATATGTCGCACTTGCATCTGAGCAGATGAGACACGTTGGATGAAGTACAAGGTGGTTACCTGCAAGGATGTCTGCACGGGCTTTGGATGCGATTCTAACCATCCTATTTAGGCGCTGCACCATGGGCTCGTTTGTCGCTGCCGATGTCGCTCGGTCACCGCTCCGTGTCATGCTAGCAAATTAGCCCATAGGCTATCTGCGCGACATAGATCTAGGGCCTCCAAGAAGCGTATGCCCATGGAGACCAATGTTGAAGCCCATTAGTACCGTACATTGCATAGATCCGTTGCTCGCAAGAAGCGCACGCTTGTGGAGGCGACCAACGTCGAAGCTTGTCAGTTCTGTTCGGTGCATAGATCTCATGTGTACAAGAGGCTCACCTCTATGCAGGTGGTCAACTTTGAAGTTCGTCATCTTTGCGAGCTACACAGATCCAGTGTCTTCGAGAAATGCAAACCCGCAGATCGGCTCTCCACACGTCATAGATCCGCTGTCATTGAGAAAGGCGAGCTCATTGTCGTGCCCAATCGTCTCTCTTCATTGCACAATTCTATTGCCTGCTTCTCGTGTAAGAGTGCCGCAACAACCGAAGTTGATGCCGTTGAGCAGGTTGGCACTCTGTGTTTGGCTTGATGCCGACACTCCTAGCACCGACGAAGCGTTAAGAGGATTGGAAGCCACCGGGATTGAGCCATTGAGGACGCCACACTCAACGAGGAGAAATGGCGGGAGCTCCGATGCTGCATAGTCAAAGACTTTGAAATGCCGTTCCCTCCGGTGGTGCGGTACCTCGGTCGATGCGCTTGCACCACACGCAGCGACGTGGGGAGAAGCAGATCACAAGTCATGGCATTGTCATTGTACACGGTATGATCGGCGAGGAGGCCGTTAAGCTGAGAGCTCTGGACGGGGGAGACACCCATGCCGAAAAACCGAAGCGTGATGCACCACCTCTAAAAGGAATGAGATGGGCGTAGGATGCCCTTGAAGGGACTCGGCTACTTGTCTGCGCTCCTGCAGTAGCCAGAGCATTGGTGAGGTAGCTAAACATATTTGTTGGTCGGGCCGGGTTCTCCCTGGGACCTTTGATGCTTGGTGGGCCTTCCGATCGTTTCATCTTCTCGTCTCTATTGCTTTGTTTCCCACACACTACAAAAGTATAATTAAGAACTTGTTAGCTTCACAAACTCAATAGTATTACTATTCTGTTATTCTTCGCACCGGTCACGTGCACATAACCTACCTGACGAAAGAAGCTATTTTGCGTCATGTCTTTTGGCGGGAGAAATGCGTAGAGATTTAGAGGTGCTTTATTATGAACTGACATAGGCACCATCTGTAGCCCCTGGTAAAGTGCTATTTTAGGAACGGAATCAATTCTCATATATCCAAATTAATTGTCATCTATTTATGTACAAATATACGACAACACAAACATTAATGTACTACCAATTATTCTCATTACAATGTTTTCGTGAG